GTTTTCAAGATTTTTCCTTAAATTTGCCATATCAACTTAAAAAGTTAATATCAAATTTTCCTTTTGATGTTTCTGTATTTTCTTGGATAATTTCCCATGTGTTCTCAAAACTTCCGAAAGAAGATTCAAGGTTCCATCTGCTCAGAGACAAGCTTGGATTAATTGAACATACTCCACCTTGGGTTGGGTTGGGTTGGGTTGGGAGTCAGAATTCACTGAGCTGCTGGTGGCAAAGGCACGACCTGATGGTTTAGGAATTAGAATCATTCTGTTAGGCCAGCTCATTACATTTTGTTAGAGTTAGTTAGCTCAATTCTAGAATCTTCTCACTACCTAATAATTGTGTATAAAATGGTATGCTTGCAATAGTAAAAGAACAACGAGAATTATATCTTCATCACTCTCAGTTTCTAATTCAAACAGAGTAGCATGACGTTTGAGTCATAAAATTTATAATGCTAATGAAATTTTGCGTAGCTAAAAATAGAAAAATACGTCAAAATATTCATAAAGCTAATGTAACAAGCATAGTTTGAAAATACATTTATGTAAATTAGATTCAAAGCACGTCACACGGACACCAATCTCAAGTACGAGTGTTAACGAACTGAGCCAAGTCAGCTCATGAGCCAAAACTTGAGGCTCGAGTAAAAAAGGTACAATCTTTTTTTGGCCCAAGTAGCTCAGCTAAAAAATTTAGACTCGATCCAAACTTTCGACTCGGGCCTTATTGAGCAAAGCCGACTCACGATTTCTTATTTATTTATTCTAATTAAAATACTAGCGCTGCCCATTGCCCAAGCTACACACTGCCTTTTATTATTATTATTTTTTAAAAAAATACATGCATTGCAAAGCAGCATGCATTAGAGGCAGAGTGGTTTTATTTTTTAATTTTTTTTCCCAGATCGTCACGGGTCGAAAATAGTCTGTGACACGAGCAGACCAATGTTGCTCGTTGAGCCACACGGGTTTGCCCGAGCGCCCCAAAATGGGACTCGGCCCGAGCCTTGACTCTGTCCCACCGAGCCGGACCGGCTCTAGCTTTCTGGCCCAAGCCGACGAGCAAAATTGACAACGCTAATCTCAAGCATAGCCATAAAAGTAGGTGAATTTGATTTATGCCAACTGAACAATTATAAATAGATAAAATGAGTTATAAATAAGTGATTAATATTTATGGGTCCTACAAAATATGTGAATAAAAAACGATTTATCTGATCATAAACAATTGTCAAATAATGGTTAAAAAGAAATTTTTTGACGAGAGAGAAATTTCATTTCAATAAAAAAAAAATATCTAGATAGAAAAATGTCCTCGAAACTATATGTAAAGAAGTCATAATAAACCAAAATAAAAACATAAATACAATGAATTGGTNNAAAAACATAAATACAATGAATTGGTCGCCATATATTTGTGGTTGAATAACTCGACCATTGATTTACCGCTCTTTTTTTGTACCGACTTTTTAAGTTTTTAATCTCAAATTCTTCGCATTACCGATTTTTCCTAAAATATGTGATTTTTAAGTTCACACACATGTACTCTTTAGTATGATGGTACTTGTGAAAAAATATTCAGAAAGTAGATGACGCCCATATTTAAGGAGAATTCCAGGATGAGAAGAAAATCCGCTCCAAATCCGTTTTAAAGGAACATTTCCCATCATCCATTGTTTAACTCTTTAACTGAATATCATTTTAGTGAGAGGACCTGAAATTTCTCCAATCCATCTCTTGTAAGTCATGAAACTAAATTGCACCATTTTTATTACTAGAAAAAGAAGAAGAACGAAAGAAAGGAAGAAAAAAACCGTAATAAGGAAACAAAAAGGAGGAAAAACTTTCATATTTACTGCCTTGGCTTTTGAGTCTAAGAAGGCCAAGGCAGAGTTTCTCCTGCCTCAATTGCGAATAAGAAAATGGCGTTCCAGGATTTCGACCTGATTAAGGAACGACGAAAGCAAGAGAGGCAGCAGAAGATAAGGAGAAGGATCACAACTGCTATTGTGTCGAGTGTTGTCGTCCTTCTTGTGGTTGCTGCTGCAATTGGTGTGGTTTTTTACAATGAGAAAAGTGCGGATACTACTCGTGAGGAGCCGAAGAAAGGAGCCCACTCGGCCCCGAAGCCTGTGATCACAGCAGAAAAGGCTGTTAAAACAGTATGTGCAGGTACAGATTACAAGGAAACATGCGAGGATAGCCTCTTGAAGACAGTAAAGGGTAATGCAGCCACTCAACCGAAAACAATCCTCAAGGCTTCAATGGTTGTTGTTTCCAAGGGGATTGATGAAGTTATTGGTCATGCTAACACTATCAAATTCGACACGCCCCTGAAAAAGGCTGCATTTGATGATTGTTTAGAGCTACTGAAAGATGCCAAAGAAGAATTAAATAGTTCCATTTCGACTATTGAAGACACGAATTTGGGAAAGATTTCCTTTAAAACGCCTGATATTAATAATTGGTTGAGTGCTGTAATGTCTTACCAACAAACGTGTATTGATGGATTTCCCGATGGAGAGGAGAAGGCTGCAATGAAGAAAGTCTTGAAAACTGTTAAGGAACTTGGCAGCAATGCCTTAGCCATTGTCTCACAAGTTTCGTCCATCTTTTCCCAACTTCAAGTACCTAATCTCAAACGAAATCTTTTAGCAGATAACGATAGATTCCCAACATGGATGAACAAGGAAGACCGGAGAATTCTTAAAGCAGATGGCCCGAAGCAGACTCCAAACGTGACTGTGGCGAAAGATGGTAGTGGAAATTATACAACCATTACTGCAGCGTTAAAAGCACTGCCTCAAAAGTATAAAGGACGGTATGCTCTTTTTCAATGTCTCCCCATCGTCTTCTTAAATTTTATGTACGCTGATTTCAATTTTCTCCTTTGTTTACTTGGAGATGGTTTAAATTGGTGACAATATTGCAGATACGTTATTTATGTCAAAGAAGGTGTTTATGATGAGAATGTTATAGTTACCAAAAAGATGGAAAATATTACCATTTATGGTGATGGATCCCAGAAGAGCATTGTCACTGGCAAGAAAAATTATGTTGATGGGGTACCAACATTCCAAACTGCAACATTTGGTATGTAATTAGGAAAAAGGAAAATGCATCTTAATTTATAATTCGGAACCTAATTAATTGCGTCTATATACGTGTATTGGCAGCCGCTGTAGGTGATGGATTCATGGCCCAATCTATCGGATTCAGAAACACGGCTGGTCCAGAAAAGCATCAAGCAGTGGCTCTTCGCGTGCAGGCTGATCGCTCAATTTTTATTAATTGTAGAATGGAGGGGTACCAGGATACCCTATATGCTCAAACTCACAGACAATTCTATCGAAGCTGTTACATTACTGGTACAGTTGATTTCATATTTGGTGATGCAGCGGCTATATTCCAGAATTGCATGATCTATGTGAGAAAACCAATGGACAACCAACAAAATATTGTGACTGCTCAAGGAAGGGTAGACAAAAGGGAAACCACAGGGATTGTGCTGCAAAACTGTCGCATTTTGCCAGATGATAAACTCGAGCCTGAAAAGGCCAAAATCAAGAGTTATCTTGGCAGGCCGTGGAAGGAATACTCAAGAACCATTGTGATGGAAACGGAGATTGGTGACTTGATTCAACCTGCGGGCTGGCTAGAATGGGATGGTGATTTCGCGCTCAAGACACTCTATTACGCAGAGTATAACAACAAAGGACCGGGATCTAGTACTTCTGGCAGAGTCAAGTGGTCAGGTTACAAAGTGATTAAAAGGGATGATGCCTTGAAATTTACTGTTGCTCCCTTCTTGCAAGGCGAAACTTGGTTGAAGTCTTCCCAAGTTCCTGTGCGCTTCGGGATGTTCAGCTGAAGTGTCTTGTTTAATCAGTTTAACAAAAACACATGGATTTCAAGATTTGGATATTCTACTGGATACAGAGTTATGCAAATAATACTATTGGTGTTAATTTTTTGCCCGAATTTATCTCTCTGTTCTTGTTATTTCTCAGAGGCATAATAACAAAAATATGATTATAGAATTTACTTTATCTGAAATGCAACTGCATTGCATCCCTAAAGCTAGTGCGGTAGCAAAACTGAATTTGGCGGAAACATTCACAACTGCAATCTAAATTAAAATTAACTTTATTTCTTTCTTTTGTATCATATTTCCTATAATAAGGGCATGAATAATGTTAGGAATTCAAGGAGGCGATATGGCGCGATATGAAGTATAGATCGCA